AATGTGAATCTGAATGGGAATGACCTTGCGGGTCCATTCACACTGGCTTAACCGCTTCCCATCCGCCCTATAGCAAAAATACTGCTACAGGGTGGCATGGAAGCGCAAAATCATAATATATACAGTCATGGCCGAAATTGTTGGCACCCTTGATATTTTTCCTGAAAATCAAGTATTTCACACAAAAAAGGTATTGCATTAACACATGTTTTGCTATACACATGTTTATTCCCTTTGTATGTATTGGAACAAATATAAAACAGAGGCAGAAAAAGCAAATATGACATAATGTCACACAAAACCCCAAAAATGGGCTGGACAAAAGTATTGGCACCCTTAACTTAATATTTGGTTGCACACCCTTTGGAAAACATAACTGAAATCAGTCGCTTCCTATAACCATCAATAAGCTTCTGACACCTCTCACCCGGAATTTTGGACCACTCTTCCTTTGCAAACAGCTCCAGGTCTCTCTTATTGGAAGGACACCTTTTCCCAACAGCAATTTTAAGATCTCTCCACAGGTGTTCAATGGGATTTAGATCTGGGCTCATTGCTGGCCACTTCAGAACTCTCCAGCGCTTCTTTGCCATCCATTTCTGAGTGCTTTTTTTGACGTATGTTTGGGGTCATTGTCCTGCTGGAAGACCAGGATCTTGGACGCAAACCCAGCTTTCTGACACTGGGCCCTACAGTGCGACCCAAAATCCTTTGGTAATCCTCAGATTTCATGATGCCTTGCACACAGTCAAGGCACCCAGTGCCAGAGGCAGCAAAACAACCCCAAAACATCATTGAACCTCCACCATATTTTACCGTAGGTACTGTGTTTTGTTTCTTTGTAGGCCTCATTCCGTTTTCGGTAAACAGTAGAATGATGTGCTTTACCGAAAAGCTCTATCTTGGTCTCATCTGTCCACAAGACGTTTTCCCAGAAGGCTTTTGGCTTACTCAAGTACATTTTGGCAAACTGTAGTCTTGCTTTTTTTATGTCTCTGTGTCAGCAGTGGGGGTCCTCCTGGGTCTCCTGCCATAGCGTTTCATTTCATTTAAATGTCGACGGATAGTTCGCGCTGACACTGATGCTCCCTGAGCCTGCAGGACAGCTTGAATGTCTTTGGAACATGTTTTGGGGCTGCTTATCCACCATCCGGACTATTCTGCGTTGCAATCTTTCATCAATTTTCCTCATCCGTCCACGACCAGGGAGATTAGCTACAGTTTGCCATGGGTTGCAAACTTCTTGATAATGTTGCGCACTGTGGACAAAGGCAAATATCTAGTTCTCTGGAGATGGACTTGTAACCTTGAGATTGTTGATATTTTGCCACAATTTTGGTTCTCAGGTCCTCAGACAGTTCTCGTCTCCTCTTTCTGTTGTCCATGCTTAGTGTGGCACAGACAGACACACAATGCAAAGGTTAAGTGAACGTCTCTCCTTTTTTTATCTGCTTTCAGGTGTGATTTCTATATTGCCCACACCTGTTACTTGCCCCAGGTGAGTTTACAGGAGCATCACATGCTTGTAACATTCTTATTTATCCGCAGATTGTGAAAGGGTGCCAATACTTTTGTCCAGCCCATTTTTGGAGGTTTGTGTGACATTATGTCGAATTTGCTTTCTTTCCTCCCTTTTTTTTGTTTTGTCCCAATACACACAAAGGGAATAAACATGTGTATAGCAAAACATGTGTTAATGCAATACGTTTCGTGAGAAATACATGATTTCCTGGAGAAATATCAAGGGTGCCAACAATTTCGGCCATGACTGTATAATATATATATATATATATATATATATATATATAAGTGATTTTGCATTTCTGGGTAGGGGGTGCGCGGCCTACCCGCTCCACCATTTGCGGCCGCCAATCGCTGTGTCCCGGCCGTTGATTATTCGCCGATCTCCTACCTGGAAGAGAACTGCTTTGTTTACCAACAGTTCTCCTCCCTGTCAGCTTGGGCACACTGCTTTGGATGGTTGTGCATGGCACAGCCATCCAAAGCAGTGTGCTTACAGTGAAGCACACGGACACAGCACCCTAGTATAACACTCCCAGCACACAGTTAACCCTTTGATAATCCCTCATAACCCTTTCCTGCCCAGTGCCATTAGTACAGTCAGTGCTTTTTTTTTTTTTCTTAGCACTGACCACTGTATTGGTATCACAGGGGATATCAATGACACCAAGTCAGTTCCCCTCAGTGTCAGAATGCCCGCAGTCCCACTAGAAGTTGCTGATCGCCGCCATTACTAGTAAAAAAAAATTTAAAATAAAAAAAAATTCCAGTATCTATATCGCCATTTGTAAACACTAAAAAAAACTTTCATGTAAACCATTTAATTTACACACTGTGATTTTTTTTTTTTTTTTTAGCAAAGACATGCAGCGGAATACATTTTGGCCTAAATTTATGAGGAAATTTGATTAAAATTTTTTTCACTGGACATTTTTAATAGCAAAAAGTCAAAAATATTGTTTGTTTCTCAAAATTGTCAGTCTTTTGTTATAGCGCAAAAACAAAAAAACCCAAACAAAAACAAAAAAATGCACAGGCGATCAAAAACCACCAAAAGCTCAATTTGTGTGGGGAGACGTAAATTTCATTTGGGTGGAGCGTTGCATGACCGCGCAATTGTCAGTTAAAGTAACGCAGCGCCGGAATGCAAAAAAATGGCCTGGTCAGGAAGGGGGGTAAAACCTCACAGACATGCTGTGGAGCGCTGTGGTAGTTCACGGAAACTTCCTGTCAGAATATCTGCTTAACCGTACATCCCATACAGCAAGATTTTCTGACAGGTCTGCAAGAGACCTGCATGGTATGCTGGTGCAATGCTTTAGAGGCTCCTTTGGACAAAAATAACAAATGCACATTTTTTTTACCAGCAAAAAAAAAAAAAAAAAAAAAAAAAAGTGCACTTATTATTTTTTGTCCAAAAAGGTAAACTTTAACTTTTTTTTTTCCCACCATATAGGGGACACAAATTCCCCTATGTGACGATGTTTTCGTGACAGGTTTCTCTTTATTGAGACCCTGCATGTCTCCTCTGTGACCTATTAGATGTATTGCAATTCAAAAAACAGCATTGGTAGGGTGTGTTAGCTTATCATTGCCGGGGGCAGCAGAGCCACCTGACTGCTTCCACCTGACAGTTTTATACACAATCCCGGTGGCTGCAGCCCGGCCCCCCCCTACAGTGTACGTACTTGGCAGCGAAAGGATTCAGCTCAGCGTTTAGAGGCAGAAAAAAAAAAAAAACCTTCTGTTTTGTGTTTGAGAGCGGTTTTTTCTGGCAGAAAAAAAAATGCTAAATGCTCTTCAGAGCTGCTACATGCTCCTAAACGCTAGTACAAAAAAACGCTCAAAATTGGCATTTTTTTTTTTTCTGCCAAGAGCACTGGCACTTTTTTTAAGCCAGTGTGTGTGTGAGTGGACCCTTATCAGCTGATGCACTTAAAGTGTTCTAATGAGAAAAGCTGCTGGGTCTGCATCCCTTTAGAAGTGCTTAACCCCTTAGGAGTCTCTCACCCATTGTAAAATAATTGTTGCAAAGGAAGCCTAAAATCTGACTTGTATCCGAGTGCAGACTTTTGGGAAAATCAGCGAGATATGAGCACATGCACAAAATGACATTTCTGGGGAAGTTCTGTGTACAGAAGGCTTGCCATATTGCATTAAAATGTACAGACAATTACAGCGCTATTTTAAAATAACATTTAATTACAATATGGCTTGCGTAACAACTGTGTATGCTGTAACTCAAGAAAGATTTAATTTTTAAATTGACCCCGTTCTTTGTAACAAATGTAGGGTAAAGCCACCCTGTAAAAAGAATAAGCTAAATACTTGCCTTTGTCAAAGGCGATGTTAAATCTTTTACTCTATTGAAGAGCTCAGACCACTGCTACTCTCTAGTTTCTTGCACTATTCCTTACACCTCTACAAGACAGTATTGATATTGGGATGTGCAGAAGGAAAAAAATCTTCAAGCAGGAGACAAGCTGACACAAATGGAAATGTCAGATAGTTGTGGTTCCCACAGCTCACCAAGTGAGCAAAAATGTAAAATGCCAGTAAGGTATTTAAAGGGTTAGCTCACCTTTACCAAAAAACTGACTATACAGATAAGGGGTGTCTATAGATATTTATGTACCTCATGATGCCTGACTGGAAAACTTCTAGGCTGTTGCTAACAGATGCCCAGCTGTTACTGATCACCCCCCCACTATCACAGGAGTGAGCTCTCAAATGCAGAGCTTAGCACTACTGAATCAAGGGAGAGAAGGCGCATTTGAGGGGGTTTAAATAGGAGAGAGCCAACTCCTGTGACGGTGAAGAGTAACGGATAGGACATTGCTAAGAAAAGCCTAAAAGTTTTCCAGACAGACTTCATGGGGTACGGAAATGGCCTACACCTAAAGCCCATAGTCTGTATATAAAAGCTGCACAGCTTGCTTTTATATACAGACATCCCTTATCTGTGTGTAGGTTATTTTTTGGTAAAGGTGAACTATCCCTTTAAATGAAAGGCTATTTTTTTTCCCCCACAAAAAGGAGACTGAATTGATTTCAGTAAACAAGACAACAATTGTCTAACTCTGCTATAGCCTGCGGCACGAATCAGTGTACTCTGGTGACAGGAAGACTCCCTATCAGAATACAAAAACACCATGGGAAGAATCCACTGAGAATGTGTTGATGGGGGAATCTGATCAGTTCTTTTTCATTCAACCTACTGGTTGAACGAAAAAAAAAATATGACTCATCTATGGTCAACTTAACACTGCCCTCTCCTCTGATGAACAATGCTGCCATTCAATGGCTTCTGTGTCCCTTCATCAAGAGTGTAGGTACCCCGAGACAGGAAGTGTATTACTGGCCACATCACCAGGTAAAGATAAAAAAAAGTCTATAAAATAAAAACGAATGCAGGCACAACATTTAAGGATTGTGAAGCTGCAATATATTACATTTTGGGTTTGGGGTTTAATCGTTTAATATAGGTACTCTACCTTGTTATTTGTGATGGGTATTTCCTTGACTTGCCTTTGCCGAAGTACATAGCCTCTCTCTTCTGTTTGAATCTACAATGTAAAAATCAGACAAAAAAGAAAAAAATATGTTTTATCAATCACTTCACACACAGAAAGCTATGGACTGAAACAGATTATACAAACATACTGGACACCAAGCAGTCTTCTGAAGTACCTCACTGCTTGGCCTGCTGCCATCCAAGATATTTCTCTGTGAAAGCTTTTTTGGAAGCATATAGGTGCCATGATGAATATTTAATTACTTCTGACTGACAGTGCATGAGAAGTTGTGACAGACAACAGAGTCTGCACAACTCCTGCCCTCCATATCCTCTGAAAGCTCTCAGGACATAACATCTGCAGCTCTGACATGTAATATTGCCACCAAAAATATTGTAAATTGCAATTTTACTAAAATAACTTCCAAAATCTTTTTCAGGAATTAAGAAGGTGCATCCTTCAGTAGATTTAATGCGAACTTCTCAAGATTTGTCCCGCTGACCTCTCAAGATTTGTCCCACTGCTTCACTTGAGTTTGACATGCCTGGCTTAAGCTAAATTCTCACTTCAACATCACATGGAACCTTCTGCAGTTTACAAACTGCTCAGAGTTGCACTCCTAGTGTATTAGCTATCAGCAGTGCCCATCATTGTCAAGTGGGAAGAAATGTTTATTACATAAATAAGGACGCTGTCAAGAGGCTGTCTTCACTTAGTTTTAACCGCCTGCTGACTGCATCACTTAGATGTATGGTGGCAGAATGGCTTTCCTACGCTGGATCAGGTATCCAACACGTGATCCAGCTCTTCCAGGTAGGGATCACATGCACCAGCCCTCCCGGCTGTGCTGTGATTAGTTACAGCACAAGCCGATCAGCAGGTTCCGGCCAATGACTGATGGCCAGGACCTGCTGATCAGCAAAGCAGATGACAGGACAGAGCCCTGTGAATGTAAACAAAAATGTTTATTAAAAAAACTTTCGATTTTTTTTCGTTTATGTTTATGTGAAAAGAAATTATATAAATTTTGTTTGCGTACAGCATTGTGTGACTGCGCTATCACCAGTGAACGTAGCGCAGTGCTAAATAGCAAAAAATGGCCTGGTCAGGAAGGGGGTATAATCTTCCAGAGCAGAAATATGAAATACTAACAGTCACAAACAAGGTATTCCTATGAATGCCCTATAAAAGGTGTAAAACCGAAAAGAACCAAACCCTCCGTGGTTAGTCAGTTCCCAGAAAACAATTAAATATTCTTACTATTGTTTCATATAGGACTACAAAACAAAGAACAGTCACTTTAAAAGCAGAAAACTTAAAGGAACTTTTAATGATACCTGTTGTCGTTCAATATGTTCTGCAGGTTCCATGTTTTCATCTTCTGCTTCATGGTGATCATTTAGAGGGACAAAGATATCATCCCCATTATTTGGCGGGGCTAAGTAAGAGAAACATACATTTTACTAGGTTATATCTAGATTTCTTTTAACCCTTTCACGGACAGGTCCTGCGCTCCACTTTTAAACTCAGGTGGCCAAACCATTTTTGCAATTTTTCCATTGCTTTTTTATTTCTCCCTTACAGCTTTCCGAGTTTGTGAAAGACCCACCAAACTATATATTTTCTGAAAGCACATGACCAGTAGAATAAAAACAAGGCGCTACTAATTTTTTTAAGGCCCTACGATATTTCATCATGGTTAGCAGATACAAACACAGCAAATTTTGTAAAATTCCTACAAAATATAAAAGCTAAACCTGTATTGAGTTAATATTTGTAAGTTATAAATTGCACGCTTTTGGAAAACTGTAAATAACTTTCTCTAACAATCTGAGAGGTTTTCACTTTTGTAAAAAAGTACCACCCCCCCAAACCATACATTTTCTGAAAGCATAGAACCAGAAGAATAAAAAAAGAAGGTGCTGCTGATTTTTCTGTTTGCCCCAAAATAGTTGCACAAATACAATGTAACTTACAAAACTCCTGCTAAATTCCTACTAAGGCCTTATTCACATGGGGCATACTAAAGCATACACCCATGGAGGACCACGTTTACCAACACAGGGATTCCCATTCAGGTCAACTGGAACGCTGAGGCTGCAAGGACAGAGCCACTGCTCCCCATCTGACATCCATGCGGGGGTAGGTGCATTACCCCAAACACAGAGTGAGTTCAGGGACATGCATCCACACAGATGTCATGTTTGGAGCAGTGGCTGTGTCCAAGCAGCCACTGTGTCCCAATTGACATGAATGGAACTGTCTGCACAGGGATGCATGGAACACTTGTGTATCCCTGTGCAGTCAAACACGGCTTTGCTGTAGTATGTCCTGCGCGAACGACACCTGTTTTTTTTGTTTTACAATTATTTTTTTTTTTTTTTTAAAGGAGTAAAATTTTATTTTTAATATTGGGGGGGGGAGCTTTGGTGAGATATCAGACCCCAAATGTCTCTTTTTTGAAACAGAAAAAGACTGAAGACAGTCCCTTTCTCTGCAACCTCAGCTACAATGCAGATGAACGAACAGGAGTCTCTGTATAGACTCCTATTCATTCACAAATTGAGGCATAGTAAACAAAGTTAAAGGAGGGACTGGAGGGGAAGCCAGTGATTGCAGTGACAGGGGTAGGGTAAAGGGCGTGTCACAATTTAAACGAATATCTCTTTTCAGCGGCTTGTTAGCTATCCGTTTGTTCAGCAGAGTCTAAGCTCATGGTTACTTTAGTGACCATGAGTTTGTAGCAAAGGAGGAATAGGTCTGTACAGCATATGGACCTGACCAGCTGGAAGCAATTCTGTAGGTCCATACACCATATGGTCCTGGCAGAAAAAGGGTTAAAGACAATATGGTATCTCACAAAAACATAACTACTGCCTTACATTGGAGCAGCCAAGTACACACGGTTGCTATATTTGAGATTTTGTAAAAGCTGCTATTACTGACAAACTGCAAACTAAATTTTACTAACACCTAAGTGCAGAGAACCATGCTAATAGACAGCAGTGAAAGCCTTCATCACTGAAAGTGAACACAAAACAGAGAAAAGGGATTTTAATGCTTTTGTGACTTTAACCTTAACAAATTTTCTTACCCGGTTTTTGTGTTTTTTTTTTTTTATTTAACCCCTGGCTGCCTCCTCTGGGTTCTTGCATCCAGCCCCCGATGATGTTGTGATTTCCTGCTCTTGCAACCTCTGGATTATGTAACATGGTATCCCAGGAGGTTGTGGAAGCAGCACAAGTCATTCTTGTTCAAGTTGCAGATAAGTGTCGGGATACTTGTTTAGGAGCGTGAAGGCCCACTTTAAATGCCAAGACCAAATCTAGTAGTGGAAGTATACTTCCGTTAACACTAACTGTATCCAGGCTCTTTTACACTGTGCGGTAATCTCTGAAGAGCGACCTGCATTGGCACAGCCATAATTATTTTTCATCTGGAATGTGATCATTTTAGGTTGCATACTACTGGAAAAGATATCTGCTCTCACCATCGGCATCAGAGAAATTCAAAACTGGCACTGGATCACCACAACTTTCCTCCATGTTATCATTCCTTTCTGCCTGTTCTGCGTTCATCAAACCTAATGACAAAGAACAAAGACTGCATGGCATTAGTGATCAAGAATATTACTGGGATTTTGTGAGTTAAGCTCTAAATTCAAGTGCTGTGCTGACATTTTCACTCCAAAACATGCAGCATTTCATTTCAAGGGTTAAGCCCACTGGTAGAGGCATATTTGCATATTGTTAAAGATAATACTGTAAAATTAGGTGGGTTGGTTTCCATACAGTTTTTTTTCACGTGGCTTTGGGATGTAAATTGCTCTGTGTGAAATTTTTAAAAAAACTTTATATTAACAGATGTAATGCAAAATCTTAAACAATTGAGAAGTCCAAACCTGGACAATTGTTGTCATCCTCTGTCCTTTGTGTATTCTGCTTAAATTGCGTTGGTGACAATATTACCAGCTCTAATGTAAAAGCACCACATGTGTGAGGGGTACAGGTGTTTATTCGGAAATCTTTCCTGCTGGCCAAAATTTCTCCCTTTCGGCTGGAAAAGAAAAGTAAATAGATTGAACAGCTAAGCAACATAAGTTGGCCATTGCTTCAGTGCTCCAGACAAACAAATGGGAATGTATATATGTGCGAGTAGTTTTAGCTGCCAAAAGGATTTGTACTTCTGTTCAGCCAACCATATGATTGGTACTGAAAGTGTAAATACTTAATTCCCTGGTTCAGCATTACAACTTCCAATGTCACCTCTCTAGCTTTAGCCTGCTCAACAGTTAATGAATCAGCATAAACACACTGTTGAATCGCTACACAATGAGCAAGCATGGTTACAAGAGAATGTACAGCAAATGATACCAGATTTGCCCAGCTGTACAGTGTGACAGATATATATATGAAGAGAATTGCAAAGTCTATAAAAAGTAAGCGGTCTACAACATTTCTAAAGTGTATTTACCCGTCTGCTTGTAATTCTGCTTTATTCTGAATAACTCAAGCACACAAATTAAAAAGTGAATTACATCTAGACAAAAGATGTCCAGGGAAGTACTTGCAGGAGAAAAAAGGTAACAAACTGAAATGCTCACCTGCAAAGGGGGTTAGTTTTCTTTTTCCACCTCTTCAGGAGGAACTAGAGCCATAGGCGTTAGGGGAACAATATTCACAGGCTACAACGATAAAAAATAAAAAATGGGGTTGGAGAGGCAATAGAGAGAGAGAGAGAGAGAGAGAGAGAGAGAGTGAGAGTGAGAGTGTGTGTGTGTTTTATATTTAAAAAAATTACATCTAGATTTGCCAGACATGAGTCTATGTGGCTTAGGATTTGCAGTGTAATTTTATGGATAGTGTATAAAATGGAAAATGAATAGCATACATTTGAATTTTGATCAGTCTTCAGGTTCACATTTGTTTTCTTGGGATCCCCAATATCATCTAGGACCAAAAACTAGAACAAAGTCCAAAATGTAAAATTTAGAGGACATACTGATATTGCAATAATACAGGTTGTACTAAAAATTACAGAACAATGAATATATATTTAGTTACTAAATATTTAAACACTGAAATGTCCAATCAAAAAAATATTAGATATCAATTTGTCAGATGTTCCTTTATTAACTTGGTAAAGAGGCCACACAAATGTAGCTTACATTTAACCCATCATCCAAAATAGCAATTTCACCTTCCTCCTGATTTATACAATGTTTACATTAGAGATCTGCAGCATAAAATGATTATTTCTATATATTTGATCTTTTCTATATAAAAAGAGGTGACTAAACCAACATTTCCCAGCACGCCAGCAAACCTTTCCAAGGCATCCTGTGCTCAGGATCAGAGCGCCTTGAAAAGCACATCCCACAAATAACATACACTTCCTCACCTCTTCTTCATTGTTGTTTGCAAAATTTGCATCTTTGTCTATTCCGTCCAGTCCTACAGAAGCCGGCTGTTGGTTCCGCCTATATAAATAAAAAATTTATCACAATCACCCATAAGGAAACAGAGGTCTACCTTAAAAAAAAAACAAAAAAAAAAGACCTTTTTGGTTATTGAAAAGAGCTGGCGTGAGTTATATAATGTAGTGCTAATTTTTTTTTACAATTGCAGGGCTGGACAAATCACTGTTGTCCATTGAAATAAGTGGCCCTGTTCACGTCTAATGCCAGCTAGAAAGAATCCCTTTGTGGTACTGCAGCACTTTCAGCTTCAGTGAGCTTGACAAACACCTGCTAGTGTAATATGAGGCACAGTGCAGGCTGGCACAGGCCCTGGAGAGACCTAGGGAATGAAGGCACAGACTGAACGCGGGGCCTTGCCACTACTCTTATATCCCAGCCTGCCAGCAGCTTGAGCCCCACGCTCCAGTTCCAAAGAGCTGCACTGCTGATGAACAGCCAGTCAGGGCAGAGAAGAAGAGGGGAGACCAGAGAAGCATCTGAGGAAGAAGAGTTTCTTCACCTTCTAGAGCAAGGAGATATCAGGAAAGGAGACGAGTCGCCATATCAAATTGAGCCTGCTGAAAGCAGCAAACAGGTAAAGATGCATCCAGAGGCTGGAAGGACTATCCACGTGAACCAGAAGACTGCTTGAGAGGCCAGGTCTGAGTGTGAGGAGCCTCATTCTCACTGCACACTCAGGGTCTGAGCTTAATGTCCCAATTTCTGCAAGCCTGTTCTTATGCGTGTCATCTAAATTTTCTGTTGTCACAGCTGCACCTTTCATAATATTCTTTTGTATGCTGAAAAAAAGAACAATGCACCTCAATGCAGGAAAAGGTGTACATTGCAGTGCAGTATGGTGTGATCAGGGCCCGAACGGACCCTCTTAGTCACCTAAAAAGTTCAACAGAAGAGCCATTTTCCTCACCTCTTTGGTGGCCCGTGTCTCCTATAGTCAGCATTCAACACATTCAGGAATGTCAGATGCCTATGTGCCCCTTCTGTGATCAGTGGTTTTATCTTCTGATCTCTAGGTCATTTCTGTGTAATACTAGTGGTCGAGTACTAGTGGTCAGATGATGGAATCACAATATTTTAGTGGAAGGGCATGGGTACCTGACACTGCAAGAAGTGTGGAATCCTGCAGAGTCTGACAGATCAAAAACTAGGAGACATGGGCCACTATAGAGAAGAATAACTTATCTACTGCAGTTAACTGCCATTTAGTTTTCCAAGGGTCACCTTAAAATATAACTAACGTAAAGCTTTTTTCCCCAGATTTTGAGACTGGTGAGGGGCTAGAATCACTGTCAAGTTTTTAGTGCCTAGTCCCCACTGGGGAGATTCACTTTAATAGTCCTTATCACGAATGTCACCAGGAATGAATGATAGGCTAAATCCAATATTTTTAGTTACCACCAGAACAGGAATAGTATTATTTGTAGTGCTCATATAAAATGACCTGCTGCATGCAGTGACAAACAGAGCCACCATGTCAGATAGGCTGTGAAGTGCTGGTTCCATAGGTTTTTAATGCAGGCTGCTAGCTGAGTGAAGTTTGTACAGGCCTGATATAATTTAATACAAACATCATTATTAACATTTTGTTACTTATATTTTGCAAATGGTTTATTTTAATGTGTTTTATGCTCTGCTATTTTATGTACAGTAGCATTGCGTATCACAGTTTATCTAAGTTTATTTACTTTTCTTCAATTTCTTTGCTTGGAAACAAGTTTCAAATTTGGAGGTGGTACATGAAAGAGAAAAAAAACTGGCAACAAGGCAGATGTCTAGTTTCAACGCTCCACAGCCAGCATTTCATATATAGGTTAACTGACAACCTGGATTGCTAGCTGACACCTACAAAATTCTACCTTCCTGTCTTTACTAAAACAGTGTCTTGTGTCTGTTGCATTTTATAGAAAGTAAACTAACACAAAACAGAAGGGACGGCAAGATCCTTTAACTGCCAGGAGACTTAAAATGCAAACCCAATCTTACCAGTGAGTGCAAATTTATGTTAGAAAAACAAATTATATATATGCCATATGCAATTTCGTGTGCTGCATTAGGCATCATAAGAGTAGCACATGGAATTAAAAAAGTAAATAAATAAAAAAAAAAAAAAAAAAAAAAAAAAAAAAAAGAAGTGCCTTTTTTTTCCTTTTAGAACAGTGCAACACACGATACTGTACACTGTACTGCAGTGTGCGTGCGTATTGGAGGTGCACTAGGATAACATGCACAATGAAAAGCACAGCAGTGCATCAACTAGTTTAAACCTCTTCACGACGGCGCCTCCCGGAACTTTAAGGGGTTTCAAACGTTGGGAGGCGGGGCTTTAGGTTCATGTGACCACCATGATTCGCTGTCACATGATCCGAAAAGGTCCCGATCGCAAAGGGGAGATCGGGACCTTTCCATGAGACACCAACATATGTGCTGGGAGCAGCACGTATGTGTTTTCAAATGGTACACAAATATGCGGCCGCTCGGCGTCAAGGCCCAGCTGCCAAGAAGCCATATATTTGCGTATGGTCGACATCAAGGGTTAATGCAAGTTGACCGCAATGCAAAAGATGTGAACGAGCCCTGATCTTTCAGGTTTGGCTGATGCTGGAATATGTAACTTAACAGTTTTTTTTTTAGGTGACTCTGGCTGCAAGTGTTCCTTGTGCAGAGGTAGTTACCAGGAGGAGCTATTACATTCTGTTGGATTAATAATTTATATCATGAAACTTTCAACAAGAAGAATAACACCTAAAGGATATTGACTGCAGCATCCAGAACTATAAAGGTCATATCGCAGCACTGGGGTTCAAGAGCTGTAAGAAGCCACACAGGACCCAAACCTATATCAGATTAGGGTGGACTAAAGCTGGACATACACTAGTAGATTTTCATATGAAAATTATCAGTACATTCAACGACTTGGCAAAAAGACATTGGAAATTTAATTTACTTTTAGCATTCAATTTGGAATTAATCTAATTTCCTGAACAAAAAACACATTCACGGTGTGAGAAAATTTGTCACCCTGCTCTTTCAGATTTTCTCATCACTGCAATTGAAAACATACAACGATTTCATCCCATTAATATTTTGAAGATTGAACGAATGTTCCTGAAAGGAAAGCTTTGGAATGAACTTCTAGTATATGGCTACCTTAAATGTAACCTCTGTTATACTTAGGAAAAAATAAAATCCACACACACACACACACCAACAACATGAAACACTAGACAAAGAAAAAAAAAAAAAAAAAAAAGATACATACTTTTTATTTGATATGAAATCCAAAGCTTGATAAACCAAAGAATAAAGGTATTCCACCTGTGTATGGATGATAAATAGATCTAATGATTTCACACAAAACATTTTTCACAACATCCATTGCAAGAGTCAAAGCATAGGTTTCCTAGTCCACTGTCTGATCTGGTGGGTCCCTACAGCTACATG